TTTGCATGCTTGTTAAGTGTCTTCTGTCACATGTTTTCACCAAGTGTCAAAGTTTTGAGTTTTTGTTATAGGCTTATAGGCTTTTGGGTATATCTGGCCACACCCCTTTTCTAAATGACCCCGTTATAAGTAACCAAAAGACAAAATTCAACATTGTTTTGATAATTATTGATCTAGAGAGTCCAGAGAATATTACTGCAGTGGTTTGATCGAGATTGAGCGAAAAACCTAGGACTAGTTTGCAAAAGTAGGTTTTTAACATATTTGTGAATATTTAATGAACGATTTGATTGACAGCAATGGTTTTTTAGCCAAAGTTGCTCGTTATGAGGAGTTCTATCACATGATATGCATATTTCTGTGAATGAGTGAAACACCACGTGATTACTGAGCCATAAAACTCGTTAGCGCCAACTAGTGGCGGATTTCTTTTAAAATTCGTACAGACTTTTAGAGTCATGAGTCGAACATGCCCACCGAGTTTCATTCCGATCGACCTCCGTTAACCTTGTCTAATAGGTGCTCAAAGTTCATTGGCCGATGGCGGCCATGTTTTTTGAGATACGCCAATGTCCTCATAGACCCTTATGGCACATTGGACAAAGACACTGCATACCAAATTTTCAAGACGATCGGACCAAAGGTTGCGAGGTTATAGTCATTTTTCTGTTTTTTCCATCTTATAGCACCACCAAGTGGCAGAGCTGCGCGGTTTTTTTTTATTTTACCAAAGATTGAGCTTGTACACATGTGTACCAAGTTTGGTGAAGATATCTCATTCCGTTCAAGAGTTACAGCTAAAATAACATTTGGCTAATGTTAGCATAGACGTTTCTATGCACACTGTTGCGCACGACAATCGAAATTATATTATTATTGATATTCAGTGTCCAGAGAATATTTCTGCAGTGGTTTGGTTCCGATTGGGCGAAAAACCTAGGACTAGTTCGCAAAAGTTGGTTTCGGTCATAACTCAATTTTCTGGACAAACCGTGCGTCATAGAGAAAATTTAGGTATTATGTTTTTTTTTGTTCGGGCTGAGGCAAGGATCGCAATGATGTCAAATTTTTGAGTCTACGACAAATGGTGTACGAGCTACGGCCAAAAATGTCTGAAAATTTGTTTTTTTGCGCTGTAGCGCCCCCTATTGGCTTATTGGGCTGAGACTTTGATGGGTTCTCCCCAAATTGAGCTCTATCATTTGGCCAAGTTTCAAGTCTCTAGACCTTACGGTTTGGTCTGCACGATCAGTTTTAGGGGAGAAGAATAATAATAAAAAAAAATCCTAACGATTTCAATAGAGTTTCAGCACTACTTGCTTGAACCCCCAATTACAGATATTACTAGAAAGCTAGAAGATAGTTGTAGCCGTAGATGTAGATGTAGGCAAGGATAACCTGTTTTTTTTTGTGAAGGGTAAAGTTCTGCAGTTGGTGTGTTGTAAATCACAAGTAACCATTTACTGATTCACATTAAACATTCCATATAGTTTTGAAAAAAAAGTTTTCATTTTTTCCACTTCTTTTTTCCTCATTCCGTTACACTACGTAAGATT